TTTGGTGCAAGCGATCGGGACCTTCTATTGGAACCCATGAAACGGGTGCACTTGTGCGTTCCTGTTTTTTGAGCGTGCCATTTTTGGGGGTGGTTTAAGGGGAAACTGGAAGGATAACCAGCATTTTGGGGCTCTAAATCCTTATCTTGACACATACCGACATGAATGTTCCTTTTCTGACTTACCCTTTTATGGAGTAGATGACAGATCCACATGTTCAATACGTTGAGGACCACAACACTTTCTTTAGCACCTCTTGTCAATAAGTTCCCCAAGTAGGATGTGCCCTACATACAATATTTTGGGAAATGGAACCACATACTAAGTAGGGTCATCCGGCCATGAGTTTTATAGCGAACTCCTTAAATTTAATCCCCACCTTGATGTGACACGTACCCGGCCAAGCACACGGCTTCTCCGATGCCGAGGAGCCCGCCGGAGCCGGTCAAGCGCACGCTGGCGGCTGCCTGGCTGCTGCTTCACTGCCAGCGCTTCAAGGAGAGCGTTTTGTGAGACGAGGGACGGGAAACCCACGAATCGATTGGTTTGTTGTCGCCAAGTATGGGACAAAACGGGGACCAAGGATTTGGATTTTGATATTGATCTTTTTTTTCCCCAATATGGTATCAAACAGGGAACCCAAGCATGGTTGTGGGTTTAGGCAATCCCGCTTTCTGAAATACCAACGGAACCCCTCTGACGTGACAAAGTAGTCACAAGGATGGTCGACTGTGGTTTCATGGAAAGAGGTATTTGCCACCGCTATGCACAAAATTGTTGGGTTTCCCTTGCTTTCACTTTACAAGAATCTCACAAAGAGCACCGGTGGCTCTGTTTTTCGAGGCTCGGTGCCCTCTTGACCTTGGATCAAGGGACATCCCAATCTCGACGCAGCTCACGTCATTGTAACGTTGGACCTTCTTTACCACTCACTTAGGCCAAGACCTTCGGAGACCGGGAGCTGACTGGCATCGCCAAGCTAACCTCTTGGGTAAGTCCCAGATCATCCCAAAGAAACACTTAGGACTCACTAACACCATGTCAACAGCAGCATCCCCGAAACCACTTGGGCTTGTCTCCAAATGTGCGAGCCCGACAAACTACTTAGTTTGCTCTTGCTTTCACTTTACAATAACCAAAACAAGGGAACCAAACCCTTTAAGTCATCAAGAAGCTAGCATTTTGCAGGAGCTCTAAGTCTGTCCAGTTTTGGTGGGTAGGTTTTGCTTCAAGATGAACCAACAAACATGGGGTGCCACTCTTGGACAGCCTCAAGGCCACGCTGCGCATGGAACGCACTGCTCAGGCATATGTGGTTGGTGTTTTGACCAGTTGCTTCACGACATAATTATTGCTCAGGAGTTGTTTCCCGTCCACCATCACACGGCGCCAAAGTCTACCCGAGCACCGAACAAATAGAACATGGTACCCTGAGCCTGGCGGAAGCTGTGTTGTTTGTTCTTGGAATATGCTGGTTGAGGGAAATTTAGCAGGAGAGGTCATGGCTCTTCGGGACTACAAGTGACAAGAAGTGGCTCACTGGTGGATAGTCTCATGTTCACTCCGTACTGGGGTCACTGGCAGCCGCTCATAGCCACTTGCTCAGGGACAGTGGCTGCCCTTGCAGACACTAGCCGGGAGAGCACCGTTTGCGCTCGTGCCACTCAACTAGAGTCGCCTGATGCATCAAGTCTGGGGTCTCCCCAGAAAAACATGCTTCATGTTTTGAGGTTGATGAAATTGAATTGTCCCAGAGTTGCGCCAGGAAGCTGCAAACATTGCTTAACACGCCTAGTGGGTCCAGGGCACCCGGTGCCAAAAGTTGAAGGGCACAGAGTCGAGAGAGAGCGAGAAGGCAAGAGGAACCAAAGGTCGACCTGCAAAAGCAGCCCCAGCACAAGCCCCGACGCTCAGTAAGTGCTCCCTTGTGAGGGCACGGCGCGTAGTTGATTTCCTTCATATCGCAAGCAAACCATCCACAATCCCAGGTCAAATCCAGCGTCCTTGCTTCGTGTTCAATTTCTATTAAGGCTTGGTGACTCGATTGCCCACTTGCGCCTTGGGGATCTACATTGTCAACCCCTCACTCATAAATTTGGCAGATTTCTCGGCTTGTTCCCTCAATGAAGAAATCCCTCCAAGATGGGATGCCCCCCTAATAATCACCCGGTTGATTAGTGCTGGATTCCCATTATCGGTTTGGGGTTTCACTTGGCTTGACCAGCGGAGTCTTCCAGGACAAGCCACCCAGCGCTGTTCGCTTCGACGAGGCGCGGATGGGATGGTAAGAGCTGTGGTGTGAAGTTTGCGCTTTCTGGGTAACGGGTGTTGAGGTAAAAGCTGTTAGTGTGCACTGCGTTGATAGGGGAGGCTTGTTGGATTTCTTGTGAATTCTGTTTTATTGGGGGCGGGTAAGGTAAGATTGGGCTTGGATTGGACCGTCTCGTTCGCACAAATTCTTCCAGCGAGCTTGCCAGTGTGTCAGGCGAGCCTACTGAAGATCCTCGACTTGCTGATGCCTCTATGTTGGGTGAATTGCAGTTGCACAATTTGCGGCGATGTGTTTGGTCTAGTCAAGTGTGTCTCTTTTAGCCTTTGCCGTTTTGGCTTTTGCTGCTTTTGGCATTTGCTTCTCTTTTTTTCCGGCTTTTGGCATTTGGTCTTCTTTGCGGTGTTGGGCCTGTGTCTCTTGCATCCAAACCCTTCACTCGCCCCAAATCAGCCCCGATAACCAACACAACGCGACCCTTAACCCACACTGATAAAGCCCACACACACACACACAAACTCTAAATCTACCTAAACGAATCCCACCCCCAAACGTTTGCTGGGCTTGATGTAGGGTTTTGGGAAGGTGCTGGGCTTAGGGTTGGGTTGGTTTGGCCTTGGTTTGTTGTTTTGGGCTTGGGAGGCTTGATGTACCGCGGGTTTAAGGTTAGCTGCTTGCTGGCTTGCTTACGGCTGGACAGGGGTTGATTTCGGAGTAGTTTAGAAGGGCTTCACAGCGGGTATGAGAGGCTTGGCTTGGCTTGGGCTTAGGATGGGTTTGGTGGGTGTTGGGTTTGCGTGGATTGGTTCGTTGGTGTTGGCTCGGTGTTTGCTTTAGGGTTATTTGGTTTCAGGTTGGTTTAAGGGAGGCTAGGGGTTGGCCTTGGGTGGGACGTGACTACCCCAAAATCACTTAAACCCACCCCAAGAACCAGCCCAAAACCACCCATTCAGGCTGCCAAGCCAGGACCATGCACAGAAATCGCATTTGACATACGCCATTCTGGCCCAACATTTGAAAGGAATAAAACTCAGATGAGTCTTCATAAACGTGGTCGACCCCCTTTTTGGTTGGTATTTAAAGGGAAACCAATCCTGTGGGCGGTACCCTCACTGGATGAGGCTTAAAACACAAGCACTCACCAAGATCTGCAGAAATCACTTTGAGGGCGTCTCAAAATAGGTGCGGCTGCCCTCTTCGTTCTTGGGTGGACTGCTTGTGTACCGGGCTTTGATTTCCGTGGCAACCAAACAGATATTGTTTGTTCCACCAAACCAGCCCAACAAAAAGAGGAAGCCCGCCAGTTTTCAAAGATGCGTTTCAATAGGGACCCCTTCAAAAGTGCTTGGCGGACATGAATCCCTACCTCACTGATGTCCACCCGGGCTAAATCCAAATCGAGCCAAGCGCCAGAAGACGGACTGGCCTCGCTGTCAGCGGATGTTGGTGGACGACGCGCGGGGGGAAGGGCTTCCGCGGGGCAGGATGGGGTTTGGTGTTTGGACCAAACAACTCTCCAATGTAGTTTGGTGGGGTTTGGTAGGGTTTGAGCTATTTTTTGGGAAGACCATGTTGGTGGTTCGGACTCTTCGGTGGCTGAGGAGGTTGGTTCGTGAGATGTTGGAACAAGTCTCTTGGGTGAAACTGTTGTTTTTGGGCCTGGTGCAAGCCGTCATCCAGTGTCAGTATCACCAATAACATCCCGAAGGGTCGAGTATGCATGAAGCGGAATTTCAGCTCCCAATTTGCCCAGACGGTGGTGCCATGGAGGAGGCGCCAGGAGGGTTAGGAGAAGGATGGTGGCGCCAAGGGTGGGGAATGTACTCTGGTACATCTCCAATCACCCGTCCATCAATCGCTCAGACAGCAGTGTGAAGTATGGCTTCAGGACTTGTGTCATCGGCATCCCTGGAGAGCGGATTGTTGCCACCTACAACAAGGCAATCGGCAATAGTCTCTGAGATTGTCACCAACAGCTAGTGCGCCAAAGCATTGTTGGGCGAGGCATGTTCCCATTGCAATTTTTGTTAAAGCATCCCTTTGGAACTGCGGCAGATGGGTGAGTTGTCCAATGCAATAGTGTGTTCACCTTTTGGGGAAAGCAACCATTCTCAGAGCTGGGGGTTGGACAATTTCGGGAATCCCCGTGTCCAGGCCTTCCAAGGGGTCCAACAGCGGCCCACGGCATCAGAGCAATGGAGCCTTGAGCTCAACACGCCTCACCTCTCCCAGATCTCCTCGTATTTCCCCCGACTCTGTTTCTTTGAGCATCACCTGTTGGGCCACTTCAGATTTCCTTTTGGATCCTTGCGGATGTGATTTCCAAAGGGGAAGTAGAGCGAGTCCTGTGGCAATCAAATTCCTTGAATGGGGCTTTCTGCAGGGGAAGGTGGTTCGGAGGCGGCCTGAAGGCGCTTACTTGGAGTTTCTTCGGTTTAGAGACGAGATCCAAATCCACAGTTGTACAGCGGCATTTCTATTTTTGTTTGGTGGGTTTCCGACTAAAGATTCTCAATCATAAGAAAGGTTTATTTTTCCCATCAGGGTGCTGGGGGTAAAACAAACAAGCGGTTCCATCACCAGGTTCATTCATCGGGGTGGGAATGCAGACTTGTCGCCAACGCAACTTTCGGCAGGGTGAAGGCATGTGTGCCATGCAGAAATCAATCAGCCTCGCGCAGGAAGAATACTGAGCCTAGAGCCTGGCTGTTCTTGGCATGTTGGATCGCATATTGCACATTTGTTTGTGTTGCTTTCTGCCCATATTGGATTGGAGCACGGTGAGCAAAATTTGGCTTGGATGGATTCAGTAGCAGTTGGCAACTAAAACCCAATCATCCAAGGTTGGTGGTCGGGGTATCACCCCAAAATACACCTCCGCCTGACTTGTTCTGCTTATTGTGTGTGTGTGTGTGTTGCATGGCGAGTTTTGCGACGACAAAACAAATCACTTCAGCGCCCAAGAGGCTCTACTGCCTGGTTTTATACTCTAGGGTCTGCAATTGGCAAGGGCCGAAAAGGCCTTGATGGCCATATGGTAGAAGCGAAAGTCAGTGGTTTGATCAGTATTTTGTTTTGGCGCGCCCGTCCAGGAACAAAATCAGGCCCTGGGCCGATTGAAATGGAATGCCTCGAGTTGCGCACCCAACCAAAGCCCTCCATCAGACGACCCATTTTCAAGGCGAACACTGCAAAGGCTCCAAAAGGCAAGCTACTTACTCAACTGGGTGGACATTTTGGTTCAATCATCCCCTTTACAGAAGTAGACTCGTGCCAGCTACTTTCACCCTTGCATTTTTGCGTTTTGTTTCCAGGTTCAAACTGTCAATCCCATGAGTCCCCCCTGTACACGTGGGTTTTCCTGGACGGAGCCAGGGCTTCAAAAGCTCGGTGCTGTCCTTTGACACCCAGCAGCTGGATCAGGTTGGGTTGAAGAGCCCGCCCGAAGACCCGAAGCTCGAGTTGGTCGCTCCCTTGAATCCAGGGTTTACCTTGAACAGGAGTCACTAGTCAAAGAAAGGCTGCCCGTTTTCTCCCAGCATGGAAAGGTTGGGCCGGGATACTCAAAGGGATGGTGGCCTAGGTGTCACTTGCAAGTCAGTTTGGCTGAGCGTTGGCAGATTCCAGCCTGGCTTCAGTTTAGTCCCTTTTCATGAACCAGTGCCTCCATTCCCCACCCAGGGTACAAGGGGCATGCAATGTCTGGGGGCAAACGATCGTTGCTTCGCCGGTGGGTTCCGGGTGGTTCCAGGTGCCATCGGTGCCCAACTTCGTGGCCAAGGCGCGCTGTGCGGAGCCACAAGCCGCAGTCTTGACGGCTTGATCTGACAAGGCTCAATCCCCACTTCTGGTTGGTGGATTGAGTGGTTGGTTGAGTGGCTTGGTCCGTTCGTTGGTTGGTTGGTCGGTTGGTGAGTGGGGTGGAGGGGTGGGTTGTTTGGTTGGTGGGTTGGTGGACTCCCTTTACGACTTGCTCAGGCATGGGGTACTAGCCCCATCAACAAGAAAGTCTCGAAAGGGGGTTAGTTCATCTACTAGTTCCTGGGCCAAGGAAGTTTTTGTTGCATGGGGTTGAACCCCATGCCTTGCAGGTCCTCCGCCAAAATTTGGTGGACCTTGGGGTAGGACAGGCCTGAACAAGTATTCAAAGAATCGGACCGCATCTAGCCGCCCTCCCTTTGCAAGTTCTTGGGCCCAGGAGTCGCCAAAGCGATGATTCTTTAATGGGAAATACTTACCCTCCAACATGTCTGGTGGATGTAATTAAATCCCCATTAACATGATATCCACTAACAACGCCAATTGAGATCAATACCCCGCGAGTCCGCCAATTTCGTCGAACCTCTGCCAGGCCTATCTGGGCTTGGGCACTGCAGGCGCGGAATGAAGCTTGTGCAGTGGGTCCCCATCTGCAGTTCGTTTTCAACCTGGGACTCCCCAATTGTTTCCCCAGTTTCCCTTTGGCTTCGCTTGGAAGCAACCCAAAGCAAAGCGCAACATGTTTGTGGGAGGGACCAAACGTTGACCTAGGCGGGGTCCAGATATCCTCAGCTTCCAGAATTGATCTTCAACGTACCCACAGGTGCCATGTTAGTGGGTCGGAGGGTACACTTTGAAACATCCAAATATGATGGTAGAACAACTGGATTGCCTAGGTTGAGGACTGAGCATTGACCAGTGATGTGCTGCGTTTCAGAGACCTGCCATGTGGGCTAAGTCGGTTGTGGACCCAGAGATTTGAGACAACCAGGGTTCCTGTGAAGGAAAATATGACCATGCCCATGGCCTGCAGGAGAATCCAAAGATCTCATGTCCAGTTGGGCGTCCCTAGGCCCAAGGCCTTCTGAACGGGTGCGGGAGGTCCTTCCGGAACACATGCCGATTGGCAGCGGCGTGCCCAAAGTTCGGCTCCTTTCCAGGAGGCGTCCAACCTTTCACCTTTTTGGGGTGTGGAGTTCCCTTCCAGGATTTAACTGTGTGCCTAGAAGTACGATTGGCATTTTGGCGACCCAACATATTCCCTGGAACACCCTCATATGTTCTTAAATGGAGACCCCTAACAGCCGTAACCATGGGTTGTTTCCTTTGGCTTGCCTTAAAATATGGAAAGAGGGTCCACCATGTTGAGAACCACCCACATTTGCCGGGCAGACCCCCGGACTTCAGGCCGGGGTTGTCAAGTGATCCTCAGGTGTGCGACACGTGTCGCACATGTGAGCATCGAATACGTATGGTAGTCTTCTATTCTGTTTGGGGCTGACATGGGAGAACAATCCGAATTTCCGACAAGAACTAAGTGGAATAATCCACCTGCGTGGCCTGCGCGGTGTGCTTTCTGGGATACAAGTGAGTTTGCCCAGCACATGCCCCACAAGTCGCATTCTCCGACAAACAGCCTAATTTTGGGTCACACAAAAGGAACACCCACAAACATACTGTACAGGAAACTCGCCTTTGCAAAAGGATAGTCCTGCAAATGGGGGCGGGGGGGGGGCTGGGCAACAAACTGGGTTTGTTGGGCGAAATTGACATGTTATTTTCTGGAACCCAGTCGGGCTGCAGCAGGGTATGTGTCAAGACTTTGAAGAATGTGTGGGGGTTCTTCTCGTGGATCCAGGCAGGAAAGGGTACCCTCAACAGAGCAGAACCACACACCTACACACACACACAAATGGCTATGCAAGTCAATAAGGAACGGAACAACCTTCTAAGCGGTTCGTGGCCACCTAAATGCTGCCCACCATAGGGTCTTCAATTTGAAATTGCCCACATTACACACAGACACACCACTGGGACGTCCAAGTCACATCTGGCCGCGTCGCGGTCCAGGCGGCGACCCCACGGCCAGCGCGAGCACGGTGCCCGCAGCGCGCCCGCTCCTGCGCCGCAGCGCAACGGCGCCGGGCCGAGGGGTGCCGGGGCTAAACCGCCTGGAAGCCCTTTCAGGACAAGTGATACTGTGGATGGACGAAATCCTGCACCACTTGGAAACCATGGGAAACCATTGTTTGTTGGTATTGTGCAGGATTTCGTCCATCCACAGTAAGTATACCTAACTCTCTTGTGGATGGTTTGTCAGGGGTCCTGATGACTGATCAGATGTCCTTTTCTTGGTGTGGTTTGAATGCCATCTCGCTTCCATCTCACAGGTCGCTCCGATGGTGTAGTTTACAGAGGAAGTGAACTTGAAAGGACCAAAGGGGAACTGGAGAACTACCCACTTTCTTTGAGAGGTGCCTCCATTTGGAGACAAACACAGACCTCCCCTTTTCAGCCCGGAAGCAGGCACAAGATGGGCAGCTGGTGGACTCTCTCGCCAGGGCTGCTCCTTCAGCCGGTGATCCGGCCACCTTCAGGGGCTCTGCACCTGGGATAGCCGAACCTCTGCAGGAGTCACTTAAGCCCTTGAGTCCGTCAAGGGCACTTTTGCATCCTTGAAATGGATGCACAAACAACTCGCAGCTTTGCCCCGTGAACAATTGCTTTCTCCGGCATCTATGCTTGGACTGCCATTTCAAGTAGTTGTCCTTTCGGCGGGTGATGTTTCAACAGGAAGTACTTAGTCCTGTGTCTCAGAAAGGATCTCTCCCCTTGCCCCCCAGAGCTCTTCGATCACTACGCCTTTAAGAGGGTTCTTAGTTTCTTTCCGCATTGGCTGTACACGAGCGAGCCAGCAGGGCAGCCTTGGCCCCATGGCCTTCCGACACCCCAAAGCACTCCCGGGGATTTGTCGAAGTAGGGGAAGCCCAAAAACAGTGGCTTCCTTTTGGCTTCCGTTTGAACCAGCCCCAAGAATGGCTTGCAGCCCATTTGGTAAAAACAACAAGGAGAGGGTGCCTGTTTCAGTTTCGGAGCCTCTTCCAAGGGATTTAAAATCCACTGAGCAACGGATCAGGCCTTCTGTGCCATTCTCAAAACTCCAGTCCAAAAACACATACTAGGAACGGTCTCATGACCACCCCGACCAAACCCAAGTTAAGGGGGATGTTTAACATGGCACATGGGTGGTCTTGCTTTAGGGAAACACCTTTAGCTTGGTTTCTTATCGGCAAATCAACCCAGAGCTTCACATAGCCTGCGCTCCCGTGGTGGGGCGACACAATTAGCCGTATGATTCCTACGACCATGTTTTACTTCAGATTAAGATCGCAACCCCATTCAGAATATCCAAAACAAGAAGGAGTGTTTTCAATTAGGGAGCCGAACACCGAACGGCGATGTTCCTGCTGAGCTTCGCATTATAGAGTTAATGATTCCTGGTGAGTCTTCTTTGTAATTAGTTTGGCTTATACTGATGGACAAAATCCTGCGCCACTTTGAAACCATGGCTGAAACCATTGTTGGTATTTTACGTCGGGGAATCGAATCAATCCAGTTCTGAACGGTGCCTAAGAGGTCGTCATGTTTCGTCCATCTGAGCTCTTAGGTGCCAGTGAAGCCGCCGCTGGACGTGCCGCAAGTGGTGCGCGCCAGCGAGCCCTGCGGGCCTTTGCTGCGATGGGTGCAGGCCGACTTGAAACGGGCGCACCGGAAGACACGGCTTAGCTTGGGGGCGCCGCTTTTTTGGGTTAGTGAACTCAGCAGGTCAGTTGAAGGTGCCATCTATTTTGCAAAGGACACTTGGAGTTGCATGACTTGGTATGAACACATTTGATGCCACTGGAACAATTATAGCAACCTCACACTGGGCTCTGGTAGGCAACCTTAAGATAAAGGTCCTTTCTTGAGGGTCCCTGGTTTCATGTTGGGTCATCTTGTCAATTTACCCATTTACCAAGAATTTCCAATCGCCCTTGTTGTTTCCGCCGTGCTTTGCACTCAACAGCTCACAGTTTGTGCTTGTGGAAGGGGCCGAAGTTCGGTCAAGGGACGGGTGATGGGTGTCCCGTTTGAAGGAAACCAACGGTTTCATGTTATCACATGTGAACCCTATTTTCTTTGGGTTGGAAGTGATGATAGGGGTGTTTAGACCACCAACGTCAAGGTTGCCCTGGGGACCATTTACCATGACCTGCATGAAGAGATGTTGATCTCGCCCACAAACACGCCATGCCTTCGGACTCGACACACATTCGCCAAGAGTCGCGCGCCACATCGGAGCCCAGGAGCTGGTGTCCGAGCACGTCAGCCGAGTGAAGATCCAAGCAGCAGCTTGGCCTTCTTTTTTGGCGCGGCTCAGTTGGATGTGCCTCTTTGTGTTCGGGTCCGGGTCAGGCACAAGGTGCGTAAGGAAACAGACTCTGGCCCCTTTCAAAAAGATATGTGTTTATATCTATAGTTATTCATCCTCTTTCTTTTTTTCTCTTTCTCTCTCTCTCTCTCTCTCCCTGTATCTCATCGGTCGTCCATCCCAGCTGGCAAATGATTTTGTCCATCAATAGGGGTGGGAATCAATCATTAAACGGGAAGTCGCCGAACTTGTTTTAACACTACGGCACCGAACGCCGTGTCAACAGCCGTGCCTAATATCGGGTGTTTTGGGAATGAACCTAGGGATCCCCTCACAGGACACCACCAGTTGGATGGTTTGCAGCGCCGCCCGGGCCACTTCTTGGGCGCTGAGGCTCTCACCGAAGCACAGGCCAAGAAGACGAAGGAGAGCTCCGGGCGTTTGGTTCGGGTGCATCCCACCACCCCCCAAAGTCATGATGGAAGGAGAGCATACCTCCAATTCTTGGATTTGTGTTTAGCTTGGTTTGAATTTTGAGGTTCACGAAGAAAAGACCAGAATCCGACATGATGTTTGGGAGGGGCAATAGCTCAGGTAAGAGACCCTTGCAAATCCCCACAAATCCTTTCCTGTCCGGAAATGTGGGCACCAGAGAAATCATGTATGAGGGTGGGCCTCACACTTTCTCGGGGTAAGTCGAGGCCCGAACCCATCAGAACATTTGGGCACTCTGATAAAGCGCTTTGAGATACAGGTAGCAGCCAAGGCTGGTGGCACGCTTGAGCACGCAATGTGTACACTTCCATCAGCTCCGTGCAAAGGTAACACCCGTTGCAATGTGGGTCCCTCGTCGATTTTTGTTGTTTTTCAAGATTAATTGAAGGGGAATGGTCGATTTGAGGGGCCCCCTCCCATTTGCAAACACACCCATGCGTGTGTGTAAACTAGAAGCTTGAGCTTGCCTAGATGCAAGTTTGGCAGGGAATTTGACAGCTGCCTTCACTCCCATCCCCTTCCGGGGGGGATGAATCCAAGTTCCATAGGGATGGTGGGAGGGTAGGCTGTGCGCTTCCGCCGCCACTCGTCTCCAGTCACGGCGCGATTCATTTGAGCAGTCTTGTGAGTGCTGGTCAGAGTTGCTTCCGAATTGTTTACTCGTACCCTTTTCCTCATTTCTCCAGGCGTCCTAGCGCAAAATGAACAAGCCAAGCAGGGTTCCCTTTTTCTTCATGGCACAACTAGACAGCGTTTTACTCAAATGATGCCGCAACTCTGCCCAAGCTGCAGAGATTGTAAGTGACCTCACGTTGTGGCTTATTGTATTTCACTTAGCATTGTGATTCACCATGACCCGCTGTTCTCTACCTAGACTTGCAGGCCTATCAAAATAAGAGCCTCCTTTTGGGTCGCCAATCTCCTTTGGTTTACGCTGAATTTATGTTCAAAACATTCCTAAAATATCAATGCTTCCAAGCCCACCCATTTGTCTTCAGTGCAGATTCCGTTCGCAGAACAATTATGTCGGTGTCCCAAGAGGAGGGGGGCAAACTGCGAAATCGCGTTGTGCGTGTCCATTGGGTTAGCCTGTTGGACCTACTTGTTCGAGACCGACCTGTGTGGTTGTTCCAAGAACGAGGGTTTGATCCCTGTTTTCTATCCAATTCCGGTGATTCCGGCGTGTCCTTTAAAGTACAATACCTGTTAGTGGACTAAACTCATGTCGTCTTGGGGATTCCTTGGAGGTTGGGCTGGGGGACTTCGGCCCCAGTACCAGGTCAACTTGGCTCGACTGCGCTTGCCCCCGGCTAGGCAGAGGCGGCCGAGGCGGCCGCTGAAGCAGATGTAGCAGAAGCAGAGGCCGGAGATGAAGCTGGTGCCATCTAGTCTGAGTTTCTTTCGTTGGCTAAACATCCCCCCTCAACAATGGAAGAAACGTTGAAGAAACTTAAGCAATTCACATCCAAGTTGTTTCCACTAATTTCGGAGTTTCTTCCGAGTTTCTTTCCAAAGAAGTGCACAGGTCACATTCTCAAAAGCACATGCAAAGCCGTCTTCCGAAAAGGGTCGGTGCCCCTCTATGGATTGTTGGAAGGGTACTATTGAAATGTTGGAGTTCTAACATCCTCTGGAAACAGCCCCTTGTCCACTTCCGTGATTGTTGGACAGATTATCATTGCGTGCCGTATTTATCCATGCCGATATTTTTTGTCTTCTCCTTTGCTCGTTTCTCATGTCTCGTACTTATTGTGCTTGTTTGATTTATCTTAAATTATGAAAGCGACCCGGAATGATCATGAGTGATGGATATGTTCTTTTCGTTCGCGCCTTAACTAAGCAAACATGAGTGTTGTAGCCTCTTGCAGCTTGTGAAAGTCAAAATCCACAACAGAAACGCCCTCCTGACTGTTGGTGGGTACTCCCTTCAGATCAACATGATGCCCGAAAGGGCCCTTGCAAAAGGAGATTCCTCTAAAAGCGACGGTTTTGGGCCAATAAACAGTTGCTCTTTTGGTTTCTCAGACCGAGCACCATTGCCCATGTTTGACCGTGGCACCGGTCCACACTTTCTCAAGGCCGCGCTGAGCAAACTCAGGGAGGCCTTAGCAGCGCAGGAGTCAGCGTGGGATGGCGGCAGACATGCTTGGAGTGGGGATTTATATTACATATCCCCATCGATGTGTTCTTTTAACTCTTTCTCAACGCGGGCACTTTTTGGGAAGCGTTGCCTTGCCACATCTCATTCACTTGACTGCGATACAGGATGTGACCGAATGGGCCTGGGCTTGCTTCGAGCGCATCCGTCCATCCGCTGGGTTCAGGCAGCCCCCATATTCAGCAGATTTAATCGTCACCATGAGTATCGGCTTTGTGTGATGGAGGAAACCCGGGGAGGGGTTGGGGGGGAGTTTGCAAAGCTGCTCTTGACGAATATGTGAGCATGTTAACCATGCATCCACCCCTCTACTATACATGAAACTGCCGGGGACCAGCCCTCTTTTCCAGAAGGGGCTTGTTGCCCGTGCACCAAGCCATGTTCGTAGGGCAATCATCATCTTCATGGTCAATCACAGAAGCTTCCGACTCGTCTCGAGCGCGTGCCAAGATTCTATAGGAGGCCGCGCTTGCAGCGCTGCAGGCCGAGAAGTCCGCGGCCGAGAAGGCCGGGAGCGCGCGGCCTTCTCGGTCTCGGCGTCGTTGCTTTCCTGTGCCCACGGCTAGGAGCTTCTTATTGGGAAGCCCTGTGATGTGCGGGTTTTCTCTTTAGCCCCAAAAAGCATGCCCTAAAAAGTCACAGGCACAGATGGCGATGATTTTTGATCGGGTAACCTAAGTGGTTGGAGGCACCTGGTGGCTTCTATGGTGTCCTTGAGTGGCGTATGCAGCTCGTATGGCAGGCAACCAGTGTTTTTACCTCTAGGTTTGTCATGGCTGAAAACTTGGTTTGCATTCCCTGGACTATGTAGGAATGAAGCGGTTAAGTTAGTACCCCCTAGTGGATCCGCGCAAGCTTCCTCAACCTGACTGAATAGTTGCCCAATAGGTGTTTTCCGGGTTTCCTGCAGGATTGATACGCCCCTGGTTGATTGCTCGGAGGGTCTGATTGATGAGGGGACTCGGATCACTTTTCGGGGAACAACCCTAATCCACCAGATTGATTCATCCAGGGTCGACATACTCAGGATGTTTGACTTTAAACCAGCCCAAGTGGTACCCTTAACAAACGGCACACCCATTTCTTTCCGAACTGGGTGCGTCTTCTTAAGGAACCTCCTGCGGTTGGCTTTCAATCGGGAACCAAAAAGGAATTTGCCATTTTGGGGCGCTCTCATGAGACATACCCAAATGGCGCGAAGGCACAAGAGGATGCGACAATGGTGGTTAAGAGGCGTTGCACTGACTGCGCAACACTTGCCGCCATTACAAGGATCACATGCCATGAAATCCTGGGTGTAATGTGTTGGTCCTGTGAGCGGGTTGCTTCTCATTGCTGAGGACTTGCTTGACGCCCAGATTGGCCACTGGACGCTTCGGAGACATGTGTGCCACGAAGTTTTGTTTTCCGCCGAGGTGCCCTTCACGTGTCCATTTTACCCTGCCAAAGTCCCGACTACTTCCCAAGGTGATACTATCGGATACAATTTGGAGCTGCAAATTCACGAAAACCAATCGCTTGTTCCGGGGTCCCGAGTATATGTCCCCGTTCAACATCGCAACACATCAAACATCACCCCACAGGAAACTCATTTGACAACAGCAGATCGTTGAGATGTTGGGAGAAAGCAAACTGAGGCATTGCAGGACCTCCGGAAGCTTGAAGGCATGGACTCGGGCACGGGCAGAGATTGCTGAACTCGGGCGGTGAAAGCATTCCGTTTGTTTTCGGTTCTGCCCTTACTCGGGTTGTTTGAGAGAGGAAGCCAAACGGAAACTGCCAAACAACGGAGTTCTTTTGTTTTGAGACCAACGCGCCAGCAACAGGGGGCTTTCGCATCGTCAAAAAGCAACCCCCTCGACCATGTCATGTAGCCACAGACTCTGATGAGCCTTCAGCCATGTTTTGCTGGGGCGGGTGAACCTGGGCACAGCTCAGCATGTTGGACGTCCGCAAAGCCACTTTTGGGGGAGGTTGCCTTTCCCCCGCCTTTAAAGAGGGCAGTTGTTTTTCAAGAGGGTCACTTGACTGAACCTCAACTGTCTCCAGACCCCATCCCTGCCCAGTCCAACGTGTGTCAAAGTGAAGCGGAAAAGATCAGCTGTTGAGCTGGTCTTGTTGCTTGGGTGTGGTGGGCCATGGTTTTGGACCTGTTGCCGGAACCCGAGATGTGTTTCATTTCGATGGTACTTGCTCAAGCCTACTTGAGATGAGTTCTTTTCTGGTACCTCAACAAATCTTCTGGGAGCCCCTGGAGACTTGAGCATTGCCCCAGGAGCGCAAGAACGCGAGTTGGAACATGCTGGATTTCCAGCCGCTTTGCCGGGGGGGCTTGTCTGGAATCAAGATTTTCAAAAGAGAATGGCCAGGTCAACTTTGGAGGATCCCAGAATTCCCCCCCAGGGATGGAGATTACAATGGATCACCTGGTGGTCATCGAGAAAGTTCCGCAGTTGCCACTCAATGTGTCCTTTTTGTTGGCTTCTAGGGTTCCCTCCCTTAGGAACTTCAGGAGCGCAGATACCAACAGATCATGGACTGAAACGAGCCGAAATGACGTATGCCCCTCAACCCCCAAAAATGTGGTCTGCTTGACCTAACACCGGCTCCATAGGGGGTTCTTAAATGATGCAGGTTGGCATGCCTTGCCCATTTCGAGAATCAGATTTAGCAACTGACTTCAAATGGCTCCTGTGGCTCTGAGATTCTGTGATCTGGTTTTCTTTTTTTGGCTCAAGCAATTTGTTGTGTTGCTTTTGTTCACCCTTTCAAGCCAACTGAGAAGGCAAGATCCAAGCAACTTGTTTTGGAAACCCTCAAGTTTCGGAGAGCCCTCCTCGGATTTGTCTTAAACCAACGAACCAACATGGATAATTTCTTTTTGGCGTCCCTTTCAACCATCCCAAAAGGGTACCAACTCAAAGCAGACTCCCCATACATGACCCCAAAGGGAAACTCGGTTGAGATGCGTCGGCTTCACCCGGAGGCTTGGAGGTACCAAGACTCAGGCAGGCGGCGCCTGTGCACGGGCTCCAAGACGTCAGGTTCGCCAAACGAACCAAGTGGAGGCTAGAAATGGGGTTGGTTTCTTTCCTTTGGATCTGTGGCCCTGACCATTGGACCAAATCTAGAAAATGGGTTTGGAGCCTGAAAACTCCAGTTTTTCTAGTTTCCCCATAGGTTCTCCCGTCGGCTGATCTGGTCGAATGGGAGCAACCCCGAACACGAAAGGTTGGGTTGGCTGAAGGAGGGAAGCCCTTGTTTTTGGGGGTAACCAAAAAGATGCCAACAGGAAGCCTTTGGGGAAACTTTTCGGTTTGAACCTGGCTTCTGGGACCTCCAGTGGTGCCCCATGATTTCTTTTGGGGGAGGAGGATATTCCTTCAAAATCGAGAACGCAACAAGGGTGCTTCCTGTTTTTTTTCCCGACGCCGACCGTAGGAGTGGCTTGTCCAGGCTCAGTATCCTGGTTGGGGTTGAAGGGAATCCAAGATGGAGAAGATGTTGGGGAAGTCTCGCATGAGACAAACCCTGGCAAAGTGACCTCGGGTTGGCCAGGGTTTGAAACCAAACGTCTCCTCCCAAAAAGGCTGACATGGGGACCGGCGTCTTCCATATTTTTGTCTTTGTTCACACATGCAAGCTTGCTTCTGCGAGTTAGGCGTTGAAGTGGAAAGCGGCCACCGATTCAGCGGTAAAGCAAGCAATGAAACGGGCTCCTCTGCAAGTCCCTAGCAAGACTGTGTTGACACTTTGGGCTCCTTCTCTGGCGCTTTGTTCCGCATGGATGTTGGGGGAGTTGTCTATATCACATGATACGAGGGTTCAAATTGCAGTTGGAAGCGCATTGGGGTTGATGCAGATGACCCTGCCAATTACATGGGTGCTCCGAAAATGGATCATTCCCCCATCCAAAACGGAATCTCCTTCTCATTTATCCCGCAGCTGGGGCTTAGCTGTTTTTCCGATTGCCCAGACACCCAGTGTTGCAATTTCCAGTTTTCCGTTGTTGTTGGAGGTGGTCTTCCTCTGACCTCGACCACCAACCAAAAGGATAGCCAAAACCTAGACTGGCTGCTTTCCTTCCCGGAAAGGAGCGCGTTCGTGCTGCTGTCTTGTCGCCTTCATACTGGCTTTCGCTGGCCAAAAACAGGTGACCTTTTCCTCTCATCGAAATCCACTCGGGGTTTGTGGCTTCGGCCCAGGCCGAAGCCGTCGACTTCCAAAGTCGAAGTGCCGATCGAGCGCCTTGCCGGGAATGGTGGGAGAAAGTGGCCAGGGATATTGGGGAATGGAAGCCTCCAGAAGGCCTCTGCAACTGGAACCAAGTTGTCCAAAGGGGTCCTGGCACCTTCCATGGTAGTCTGGGTGGGGGAGAATCGTTGGCCAGTAAACCATGGCCCGTGCCAAGCTCAACTTCCGAATCAAGCCGAAAGCCCCCTTTTCGTGGGGAGCTGAGCCACAGGGGGGGGGGGGGTTGGGATTCATGCGGAAGAGTCTGAAAGCTTCACTTCGGCGGAGCTTGAGTTGATGACGCGGGTCGCTGACAATAGAACTCAACGGGTGTGTATTGCTGGTCCTACAATCAGGGAAACCGGGCCCCGACTGTCCCATGTCCTTGTGGGGAAGCAACATGCCTCTCTTGATATCGATTCCCTGTGCTTTTCGACCATTGTTCTTTTCGACGGAAACCGCTCCTTTCTCTGGTGGTGGTGGTATTCTGAACAAAAACGAGCCTTAGAAAAGAGGGAAGTCGCCTAAGCTTCAGGTGGCACAAAGGCCATCAACACCGAGGCTGGAGCTGAGCGGTACCCTGGCCGTGGTCGAGCAGAAGCCGGGGCCTAGGTGAACCCGACCGCCCAGGGCGCACAGGGCTGCGAGGCCATGATTCGGAGCTTCATTGCGTTGAGGTTGCCCTTGATATCAAGAAGAAAAAACAAAGAAAACAGATCAAGGTCCATCAATTCTCAGGAGGACCAACGGCCCGGACAGTTTCGAGTGAATCGAAATGGGTTCTAAATGGGTTCTAGGATGCTGCACACATGATTGTCCTTAGCCCTGCCAAGCCTTCCAGACTTGTGCCCATGCACCGGAGCTCAGTTTGTGGCTTTCCAAGCTGTTGAAGGGGGTCAACCACATACCGCATCCCAATTTTACATTGCCCAACATCCGAAGCAAGACTCCAGCAACCATGGCCACGTCTGCAACATTCAAGAACGATATAGCTAGCCTTCGAAAACACCACTTCCTCCTCGCAGTGGCCCAAGGCCCAAGGCGTTCGTTTTTTTTTTGTGCCGCGACTTCGCGGATTTGGGTTTTCTTCAGCGCGAAGCTATGGCGTCGCCCCGTCCGCGCCGCATGCGGATGTGTCTCGCGCTGACGCTGGCCGCCTGCGGCTTCGGCGGCTTCGGCTTCTGCGGCTTCGCATGGGAGCGGTCGTAAGATCTCAAAGGCGTTGGTTTCATGGCAATAGACGGGACTGAAACATGGCAAGATGGCAATGATTTGCCCGAAAGCGAAAGGGAATCGATGAAAAGAGGTGTCATTGGCACTCGTTGGGCTTCGCTGTAAAACAAAGGGGAGGGAGGTCGAGGTTGGGGCAAGGAGCATCGGAATGCTGACAGCCTTAAAATCGGGTCTGTATCGGACTGGGCAAAGCCGACTTCGTGGCATGACCGCCACGATGTTCCGTGTTTGGACAAACCTGAGGATTGCCGTGGGATCTTCACGAGAATCGTACTCTGCAAAATTAGAGGCACTTATTTCAGCTTGCTTCGAATCATTGGCCAGTCATCTATGTTTCTAGAGGCATCTGCGCGTTTCGGTGTCGGGGTGCCCCATTTGGGACAGGATCTTCGTGCCTCGAAGATCGGCAGGCAGGCTTGGGTTTTGCATGTCGTGGCATGGCGCACGAGGAGAGCGTGTTCTGGAAAAAACAGATCCCTATTTTGGGCAACCGCCAGATGTAGTGGTCAGATTTTGTTTGGTCTTGTGGTTTCCATCGATTGGGATGCTCTTATATACTCAAACAAGAGTGCTCAGAACTTTCATGTCACCTTGCCGCTTCTCATTTTTAAACGTGGAGACAGCCGCTCACTCGACAAAACGCAGGGAATCGGATTCCAGTGGTAGAACTGCGCCTACCAAAAACACCGACCGCCCACACCACACCGATCACAGTGTTGCTTTGTGTTCGCGAGTCTTTGGCGACCCAGTCCCCCAAAAGCAGGTTTGGCGAAATATATTTTCACAAGCTCCCGGCCCCCTGAAATTATCTGAAACCAAAAGGAGGTTGCCTACACCATGTTTAGACCTGCTAACAACGGCCTGAGCCCGAGCCCAAGCCGCGTGCTCTCCAGGCGCGGCTGGGCGGACCCGGGCTGGAACTGGGGCTCTGCATCCGGCACGGCCCACGACGAGGCCATGGCGCTGCGGAGCCGCCTGCGGTCCAAGGCGCGGGACCCGTTCGCGCGCGGGGCCGCCAAGGCCGCGTCGGGCCGCTCTGAGAAGGTTGGAATCTCAATGCCTCACAAACGAGGTTGCCCTATTCTTCAGTAAAGTCATAGAAACCCGAGACGGATTTGACATAAACTGCTGAACAATGCCTTTTGGTTTCACTGGACGCTTGAGGTCTGGTGTTTCCGTTAGACTGAGGGGAGCGGCATTTTTTTTGAATAATTGATCATGCGAAGGTGGTTTGACAGTGGTGTGGAAGTGGATGGTTTTCCCACCACCGGACGAACTAGCTCATAGCCCCTTGTTGATGCAGTTGGGCGCTCCCAACCACCCCCCCCCCCCCCCGCCGCCAGGGGATGGAGTGCTTCACTTTGAAGGAAGGCACCCTCACGCAAAATCTGACCAGGGACACCTTCAGGGATTCAATGCCACCAGGAAGGCCACATAAAACAGTAGTATTAGGTAAGCTGGCAGATCCCCAGTCTCAGGCGATTTGACACACATTGTTGTACTCCACTGACAATCGCTGAAATTGCTTTTCGAGGGTCAACTAGGGTTTTTGTGAATTCTGGATTTCCCCTGCTGGGGTCTCTTCCAAAACCATGTTATATTGTAGTGTAGACTAAATATGAAAGACGATCTGAGAAGATGTTGTTCAGGGTACCCCAGCTGTGGATTGACTGAATATGTCCTCCAGCAGAGAGCATGATTGTACACGGGTGCTGTTGGCGTTCTGTCTTCGTTTCCGGCCTGCAAGAAAGGGGTGGTCATCAACTCATTCCCTGGTTTGTGAATTTGAACAATCAGAGAACAATCATGTATTGCTTAGATTTCGATTGTTGCACTCACAGGACGAACTTTGGCAGGCTTGAGAAGTGTGAAAGCATGCGAGGGGGCGCCTATCAGGGATCCCTTTCAGCTGGCTGGAAAGGGTCCTGGGTCGGTAGCGAGAAAGGCTCACGATGTGCTTCAGGGAACGCACTTTCAGAGCTGACACGCTTGCCACAATACATGGTTTTCTTGTTGGCCAATTACCATGGTGATGGGAGTTGCGAATACGTGAACACGTATATATATATATATATTCATGTAACATTGTCGGATTTGGGGTGCTTGAGGAACAATGATCATGAGATAGATGTGTATGGCAGACATGGCTCACGACAGCTCTTGCTGACTGTGGGCTGCAACCATGCCTTACTACTTTGTAAATATTGATTGTGTCGGCGGGTTGTATCAGGTTGGTGAACTATTCTCACTTGCCCATCCTACCTTCAGCAGCACCTGTAGGACTCCAAAAGCAAAGGTCCGGATAAGGGAAGTTCTTAAAACGTTTTGAGTGGCGTTTGTTTGTGTGTGTGTGTGTGCGGGAGGGTACGTGGGTGGGTGGGTGGGTGGGTGGGTGGGTGGGTGGGTGGGTGGGTGGGTGGGTGGGTGGGTGGGTGGGTGTCCCGAGTGTGTGCTTCGCATGTGTCAAAGCCCAGTTCCCTGTGTTTGATTTTCTTACTGCACCATGATCCAGCTTGATGGTGTCTGCTTCATTATTTCTTGGGTCCCGCAGACCGCTAACACCGGAACATGGTCATTCACTTTGGCCACTTCATGATTGGTCATTCACTGGTTCTGTATGCCTCACAGGTGCAGCGGCAGACGTGGCTGGACCGTTTGGAAGAAGGGGAGGCGCGGATGGTAGCTGTTGGGGCATTGGGTGAAAGAGAGCGCAAGACACTAGGCTTTGTCAAATCTGGAGGGACGTGCAGGGGACTCACTAAACTTCACACCAAAAAAGACAGGGCACTCACTAAATGTCCCACATCCTTCTGGTGGAACACTTGTTTTGTCACCATGGCTGACAGCTGACACTGATCAGCTGACAAGATCATTGGTAGTTTATTGGCATTGTGCGTTTTACCAGCAAACGGCGGCCCCCAATGCCCCAATGCTACACTCGAATTCCTCCCTACTGAATCAAGGGCATACTACATGCTCTCGCGGAACAAGCTGAATCTTGTGCGCGTCTCAGCTGGTCCCTTGGTTTGATGACCCGCACCCTTCATGAGCCACAAGGTTCGGATTAAATGAGAATGGTGGGGTCGGAAAATCAGTTTCGCTTCCCATGCAGTCTTGGCCTTTGAATTGGTTGTTTTCAAGTCAATCATCGCGCCAGGCTTGAGGTAATGCGCTGTTCCAAGTCTGGACGCGGTGTTCAATGTGCTTCTGCACTCGTAGATCTCCGATCCTTCGGCTTGAGGTTCAGTCCAGCCCCCAATGGATGTGTCTCAAAATGGGGAAGTCAGTAGCACCACAAAGCGGGGGCCCGAGAAACAAGCACACATCCAAAGAGAAGACAAACTGAGGTGATACAAAAATACCCAAAAAAACATAAGTCACACACCAGACATAAAAGGGAGAAGAAGATGGTCATGTGACTCACCCAATCTCACCCTTGTCATGAATCAGTCGCCAGTCGCATGACTGCAACCCTGTCACATGGGTCAGCAGCACTCCGAGTCTTCAGAGGCCCTGTGTTTGCTACCCTCAGAGCCTTCGTAGCCCTTTTACCATCATACATCTGTTGCATAACTTGCAACCCTTCCAGCCCTTCAGTTTGTATAGCCTCTGTGTCCCTCCAACCCTTTTCCTCATGTAAGCGGTACAAGATACAACTGTTGCATCTCTCGAAGCTCGCATAACCCTTAGGACCCGTATGGCCTACAGCCGGTGCACCCTTCATGCATTCACGCCTGGTGCCTCCAGGGAGTTTTTTGAACCCACACATGAATTAGAAAAGCAAAACTGGAGGCACCAGGCAAAAAAAGCACCGGGACCCCCCAGGCGTGACTTCAACAAAAGAAGCACCAGGCCCTCCAGGCGTGATTCAAACAAATAAAGCACCAGGCCTCCCCAGGCGTGATTTCAAAGGAAAACCACTGGGCCCCCCAGGCGTGATTTCAAAAAATACACTGGGTTTTCCGGGCGTGATTTCAACATATTGATTCCAAGACAACACACCGGAGCCGACCCTTACAACCCTTTTGACACGCATAACTCTCAACACCCCGAACGCCCTTTCTAGTCCTTAAAGTCTTGACAGCGTACCCGCACCCTTAGGTATGGAGTCAGCGTTGGGGTGGGGGGTTAACCCTGGAACTCCATTCATATGTCCATTGGCTGGGAAGGACAGACCATGCAACCCCCTCCTCCTTTAGGTCAGGCTGGAGGATTTCATTCACGTGTCTCTCGCAAATGGGGCAGTTTGTAATTGGGTTCCTTTGAGCAACACCCAACAAGGGTGTCCTTTAGTGGGAGATAATATCCTGGTTTAGAGGAAACAACCCGCAAACGTAACTTGGAAAGCCCATAAAATTCTGGGTCCAGGATGGGCCCAGTTTCACAAACTATGTCTTTGTTGGTGCCCTTCTTTGGGTTTCAAAGGGAAACCAAAGGACCCCCTCTGATTTGAAGATATCGCAAGGACAGCCCCAAGTGATTTCTCGCTAGCTGGATGCCGAAGAGCTGAAGCTGGCGCTGGGCCTCCGGATTCAGCACGCGGCGCGGGCGAATGCCGATGGAAACGGCCGAGGGTGGCAGCTGATGCAGGACGCACGCGGGGATGGGGGGGGATGGGGGGGACTACAAGCCAATGGGTTCGTGTCTTCACCACGCGGGGTCCTGGCAGACTTTTTGCCGTGGCCTTTTGTGCATCAAACACACTACTGACCCCGTGTCGGGCTGCCATTTTCTGGGAGCCAGGGCTGTCTAGCCTGTGTGCCTTGTCACCTGTGCGGGCCCTTGTGAGATGGCGGCACCTGTCACAAGTGGGCAGTCTGGGCAGCCATTATCTCCAAGTGGCGCTTTGCTATGATGCTTGCAGAGTAGGCGTCGCCGGTAGGGAGGCGCGCCTTGGCACCACCGCCGCCGCCGCCGCCACCACCACCAACACCACCACCCACCCACCCACCCACCCACCCACCCACCCACCCACCCACCCACCCACCCACCCACCCACCCACCCACCCACCCACCCACCCACCCACCCACCACCCACCCACCCACCCACCCCCACCCCACCCACCACCACCCACCACACCCACCCACCCACCCACCCACCCACCACACCCACCCACCCACCCACCCACCCACCCACCCCCACCCACCCACCCACCCACCCACCCACCCACCACACCCCCACCCACCCACCCACCCACCCACCCACCCCCACCCACCCACCCACCCACCCACCCACCCACCCACCCACCCACCACCCACCCACCCACCCACCCACCCACCCACCACCACCACCACCATCCACATTGCCTCTTGATCATGGAAGATTGATAGTGGTTGCAATCATCAAGGCTTTCTATGTAAAAAGATTCCTGTTTCGTGCAGCATGGCCCACCGCCAGCCAAGTCGCGGCCATGAAAAATATCCTTGGAATTCGGGAATGCCTCCAAACAATGATTATCGGTGTCCTTGTGGTGTCCATGGTGTCCATTAAAACCCAACCATGGCCACCTAACAAACATGGCCTGCGACCTTTATCTATGGTGACGTTCGTTGAAGACAACAATTTCATTTTGGTGCCTCTTTCGACTTGTCCAGCAAAGTGGATACTGGGTCCCAGACAGGCTTCCTCAAATGCCTGTGGTGTGACCTGTTTCCTTTTTGCCAGGATATGGCCGCCGTCAAGTACGAGGGCCCTGATGGCCCGCAGCTGCTGAAAGAGGAGTTGGGTTTGATTTCTGCTTGGCTTACCTTCCCAGCTGGCCATGGTTTTTGATTGGGCTTTACCTTAAAAGTGCTTGGTGGACCCCCACCTAGATGATTTTCACGCAGGGCCCCTACTGAATTTCAAGCCCTGTCGTACCCCAAGACTTGGATGCCTTTCGAAGTTCATCCGTGCCCTTTAACATGGGGCACTCCTCTATCAATCAGCCAGGGGCTTGTTCTGAGACCTTTTTTCAATGTGTTTGGCATTGGAAGGTTCACTAGACATGGACCAGGATTAAACTGATGGATGCTTGGTTGCAAAGGCTGACCTTTGAGCCATGTGCGGAAAGAGACTTCCGGTTGGGTGTTCCTTCCCTGCGCTCCGCGACTGGTGCTCCTTCCCGGAAGCTGCCAGGATTTGGATCAGCTGGCGGACGCACTGAGGCGGAATCCGGAATGGGACCGTTGACAGGTAGCCATGGTGGTCGGAACTTCAGGAGACCTTTCCGCCAAGGGACCTTTGAAGTGGCTCGGCAAGTTTGATCGTTGGGCGCTGCTTTTTTTGCTTGTCAGGGTCGTTTTGGATAGCGTTATAAAGGTTACAGCCGAACGCCTGCCTGCCTTGGTAGTTTGGACGTTCGGGCGTACCTTTCGATTTGGTTTCGACAGGGGCTGATCCCAAAGCCGCCAGGCTGATTCGAGTTGCTTAGGGAGCCTGTGCCAGGGCTGGTTTACACCATGTGCGGGACCCACGAGTCTAGGGCTGCCTTTCCACATTTGTCGCAGTCCCTTGATCGAAGAAAGCGGCCACACACCACCACAAACTATATGAAGTTTGTAGTCTATTGTTAATTTGCCGCTCGCTCGCCCTCAGGGTTGGGCGAAGTTGAGTTAAACAACCATACCGCCCCTCCCCGCACATCAAAGCAAAGCCAAAAGGAGGTTGTTGACACAGCATTGGTTTCAACATGTGGGTGTTTCCTCCAAGACTTTCCTGTTGGGGCTCCCTGATCATCCATAAGAGCGCCCTATGGGGTTAGATCCCACACTCTTCCTCCCCCCTCCCTCCTTTAGCGCGCATGAACGCAGGGTGCCGCACGGAAGGGACCTGGGCCAAAGCGGGTCCCTGGTACTGGTGGCAATGGACTTCCTGGAGGAGGGGCTGTGAGACGAAACTCGTGGCACCCGTGCATTCGAGCGCTCGAAGGCGAGGCACGCGCGCGCGCGTCGGGGAGGAGCGTGTTGGTTTGTAGGGCCCCGTTGGTTACAGAGTCGTTCTTGAAGGGGAAAGCAATTCGCGACTTTGCTGGTCCAACCCCTTGGGCTCTGCACTCCAACTCCTTAGACTGGGCTGTTCGAGGCATGGATTGTGTAAGGTTCCCTTGGTAGCGGGTTGTTTCGACCAATCCTGAGTTTTGAGCATTCACAGTTTTTGTTCACGTTTTCCTTGTGCCAGTTGGTTTTAGCGGACATGCCCCTGTTGTTTGTTTCGCGACCTCAGAAGGCCCTTATTTAAGGGGTAATCTGATGGCATCTCGGATATCAAATCACTAAAGCGCACATTTCGGGGGTTGCTCGAATTATCCTTGTCGAGATTGATATTCTTAAATTGAACCCACCTTTTGAAAGGTGTTAATTATTGAGGGAGGCACTCGGCAATGAGCCGCAAACAACCATGGTGTGAAGATACGAGGATGTTCAAGAAACAGTTTCTTAAGCATGTTTGGCTTTGTTTCAAAATGGTGAACCCCTGACTCAGTGAAGCTCAACCTGGTCTTGGGAAGCCCATGACTTGGAGATCGGCCGAGGTTCGGGCTTCCGGATCGCGAGGCAAGAAAAAGGCCTCGTCGGAGACAAAAAGTGCTGCGCTGGGGCGAGCAAACTGACGGTCCCAGACCTCCGGTGCCAACTGTTTGCAAGCTGTTGTTGTGTGGGGCGAAAAGAAGATCAAAATCAACGAACCCAAGAAAGGGTGCAGATCTAGGGCTTGAGGTTGCCATGCCCACGTCCAAAAATATGGAATTGGGGGGTGGGCCGGCCACCGGAATTCCATTTATAGTGGCATGCTTCCTTTTTGTCGCAAGACAAATCGGTTGAGAAAGTAAACAGATACATGAAGACGAGGCGACTGCCGAAGCAACTCACTGCTTTGTGAGTGTGTGTTTTGGCTCTGAACAGTCAAACGTGATCGGGCGACCAACAGGTATATGTGCATGCTGTGGCATTTAGTGGCCGTGGACTGCCCCGGATTTATCACGGATTAGGTGACTGTGGCTGTAGCTCAAATGGGCGTATGTATGTGTTGTTTCGAGGGTAACCGTTGGCCTACGTAAGGGAAACAACAAGAAGCCAACGATTTTGGTCGGTGCAAAGCCCTATTTTGACCCACACCAAGATGGGGTGCGCACCGGTTCACTTTCAACTGCCAGCTGGGCCTACGGATTTGTTTCTCGGGTTGAGGCTTGCCCAGTGCGGCATCCCTTTCATGCGCACCTCCGCGCAGTTGCTGGAGGGGGATGTGCAGCAGGCGGGCGGCCAACTGGCTCTCCGTTTCTTCCCGCAGGGCTCCCGATATTTCCCCGTTTATTGGTATTGAACATCATTTGTTTGGCCCAGTGAGGGTGAGTTGCCCTTGGAAAGGGTGATGTCTGCAGGGGAAATACGGGGACCCCTGTTGGGGTCTTGCATCGAAGCTCAATGGAAGCGGCCCAAGGCCGATTTCTTTGAGCCAATTCAACAGGTCGCTCTACTGGTTGGTTTCATGGGAGTTCCGACAATGGATTTAAGGACTATAAAGACCTGCAAGATCAGGCTGGTATAGAGCCAAGCATGAATTTGATGAGTTTGGGTGCTGCTCATGTTGACTTGGGTTTGGAACAACGGCTGGGTCATGCTTAGTAGAATCTTGTAGAGCTGGCAGTCGATAGTACTGCTCAATGCAGATGAAGCACGGAGATGTGTTTGTATTATTATTAAGATAGTTGTAAACGCTTCGCGTTGCCCGCCTCGGCCCAGCCTAGTTTGAGGGAAGGGTCAGGAACACCGAAATCCAGTGTTGGGAAGGTCCGAATGCCGAATACCTGAAGCTGGCTCCAGACAAGTCAGACAAGCCGGCCTCGCCTGGTTGGGCTGGGCCACAGGCTAGTCTCAGACACATCAGATAAGCCTGCGCTGGGCCTGAAGCTAGTCTCGGGCAGCTTGGCTGGACCTTGCTTGCGTGGGTTGTTGGTTGAGCTGGGCCTGAAGCTAGTTTACGGCGGGCTGGGCAGCCGCACTGAGGGGGCTGGCCTATGGGCCCCAGTCTCGGCGCTAGGCTGAGGCCTGCGAGTCTCAAACAGGGTGGGCTTGGGTGGGGTTGGCTTAGGCGGGTTGCTGGTTGGGCTGGGCCTGAAGCTAGTCTCAGCCACGAGGCTGCGAAGCCATGGGTGGGTTGCTGGCTGCTGGGCAGCCGGACTACGCTGTTGGTTGCGCCTGGAACTTCGGCTGGGTGGGCTGGGCTGAGCTGTGCTTGGGCGGGTCGCTGGATGGGCTGAGGCTGGGTAGCAAGTTGCTGGCTGGGCTGGGCCTGAGGCCAGTCGCAGACACGGCCTAGTCAGCCTGGGCTGCTTAGTCAAACCTGACCTTGGCACGCTGTGCTGAGCCTGCAGCCGGACTACGCTGCTGGTTGCGCCTGGAACTTGGGCTGGGCGGGCTGGGCTGAGCTGTGCTTGGGCGGGTTGCTGGATGGGCAAGGCCTGTTTCATACACACTTGGGCCTGAGGCTGGGTGGCGAGTTGCTGGCTGGGCTGGGCCTGAGCCAGTCGCAGACACGTAAGACACGCCAGCAGGCGGGCTGAGGGACTGGGCCTGAGGCTAGTCTCAGGCTGGCATGCTTTGATGGTCTCAGACTGCGCCGAAGACTTGGGGCCAGACGCAAGCAGGGCCTGGCCAGCCTGGGCTGAGTTGCTTGGGCAGCCGGACTGAGGGGCTGCGGCACGTCAGACAGGCTTAGTAGCTGGCATAGCTTGAGACCAGTTTCAGACACGTGACACTGGTCGTTGGACAGACAAACCTGACCTTGGAAAAATTGCTTTTTTGTCCTGAAAAACATGACCTCCTGACAAAAATGGACCCATGGAGCTGGACGCCGACGAACCCCGAAAATTTCAAGGCCTGCCGGACAGGATTTTGGGCCAGCCGACATGGGTGGGGGGGGGGGGCGGGGCGGCAAAATGGGAAAGCGAAGATTTTTATTTGGAGAAGAGATCTGAGCGCCCTTGGCCCCTTTGGGGCCGAGGCGAATATATATATATATATATATATATATAGTTTTGCAATCAACCAATCTAACACAAAATTGCCCCCTAAAAGCGGCGTTTCTTTTGGCCCTCCCATTCCAGCTGAAATCGCTTGAGGCGTTATGAAATCTTCTGGCCCAAGAGAACTTAAACCCCAATCACTTGAAACCCCAAAACCGTTGAGCCAAACACCTCGAACTCTACACCCAACGTCCCCAACTCCAAGAAACATCAGCCTCAAAGGCCCTAACCCTAAAACCCCTAAACCCCAAAAACTCAACCCTAATCCCGGTAAAGCAAAGAACACCTCAAACTCTAAACCCCAAGAACCCTAAACCCCAAACAAACACAATCAAACGCCGACCATCCTAAAACCTAGAACCCCCCCCCTCAGCCCTAGAAACCCAAAACCTGAAGTTTCAAGTAGACTCCGTGGGCAGCCCGTCGCCTGTTATGTTGTGTGGCTAACCTTTGTATAATAGCGGTCACGTAAGCGACATACACACCAGTTTCTCGGGGGGGAGGGGTGGTTTGGGGAATGATGATTTGAGGAGCGCTCAAAGCCCTTTTGCCACTTTGTTAGGTGGTTCTACTAATACTACTTGGACCTACTTGTGTGTGGGCTTTGTTCTTTGTGACATGTGTGTGCTGCTCATTTGAGCGTCAAAGGACATTCTCACGAAAAACATCTTGTCCAGGCCTCAAGGCACAAACATAATTGTTGGACACGGCGCGCAGTGATTGATTCACCTTCGTGCACGAAGAGAAAATGCAGATATAATATTATATACATATATATATATATATGCAGTGTTCATGCCTGCACCTACACCATTCATGAATGCTTTCACATGGGTTTCTGCGGCGCTTATTCGCCAGCCAAATCTGGGCCGAAAGGCGATGGTGCTGCCGAAAATCGCAGAGATCCTGAAGGAGCACCGGGGCAAGCTGAAGTGGGATCCCTGGCTCACCGCAGTCACAACAGGGCTCTTGAAAGAATAAATTGGGGAGGGACCTCGGAATGATCATATCCGCTTGAGGACAAATCTTTGCGCGCAATTAGGTGGTTTCCAACTGGCTGCATAGTCGCTCAAGCGAGGTGAAGTACATAGAGAACATGCGACATGCTCCTTGGATCATCGCAGTCGTTTGTTGCAATAGCCGCGCTTGCTGGCATGAAGGTTCCTCACTGGGAGATTCCTGATTGTAGGTGTGTGAAATATATGTCGTTAAAACCGGATGCTCAATTTAGCTCGCACATTCCCACCCGCTTCAGAAGGGATGACCCCTCAAGTTCCATAGTTCCAGTTAAATCCTTTCGTGCTTGGAAGACAAGTCTGCGGCATGTTTCCCCTGGCTTTGTCTCAAAATGTCCCTTTCAAGCCACCCCAAGGAGGGTACACTCCAAAAAAAAATCCCAGGCTGCAGCTGGAGGGCCATCAAGCGGAAGGGGAGGAGCCCGGCACGGGGCCCGGCGTGCGGCGTGAGAGTTGCAACCTGCTGTTGGCTTCCCTTAACAAAACGGGAGGGGTTGGTAGTTTAAACAAAAATTTGCCTGACCCTGGTGACCCTCCCTCCTTTTTGGTATAAATAGAAGGACGGCACCTGGAAACAAAACGAGCTTACCCATGATGAATGCGTCTTTCCTGGAGATTTGTCGTTTAGGCGGGTGAATTATTCTAATTAGTGCGGAAGGGACCCACCGGGCAAAATCACCCACTAACAGAATGTATACAAGGCAAGCAGGGATCTCTACGCAGACTTTGGGTGGGTCAATCTTCAAACACTCGTTGTTGTGTGTTGTTTTTTCAACTAAGACAACCACCCCGGAGTTTTTGGGCGTGATACCTTTGGAGAAAACCTGACTAGTGATAAACGAAAGCCAGTCTTTGACTCTGGTTTGCGGTTGGTTTGCTTGTAAGGAGGGAAGCAAAGCTACCATTCGGAGGTCAGAGAGTCGCTCGAAATAGCAAGGCTTGGATGTAGTGAAGCCAGAGAAGAGTCAACGAAACAGCGTCTTATATTCAGCTTGTTTCAGTGAGGGTAGTCGAAGCTTAAGCCTTTCGTTCAAAGCCATCCTTAGCTTTTGACACACTCGCCAATCCAATTGTTTGTTGGTGAAGTGGCAGAGCTACACAGTTTAGCCCATGCGATGATTTGCATGCATTGCAATGAAGTTGGATTTGCATTTACGGAGGCACTTCTTGCTTTGTCCTTTGACTCGCATGACCATTGTTTCAGCGTACCTGCCCATGGCTTCGATTGCGAGGCCTGAAATCAAGTCCTTCTGTAAGACTTTAAGAGGAGGCCACGCACGGCTGGTGTACCTTCGTTCTCCTTCAGCGAAAGAAGGGTCATATATGTTAAACACAACCTAGCCATTGTTTTACACACATGGACATGGCCATTCCAAAAGCGTGTCTGGCGAGCGGCAGACGGCGTGTGACTTGTTGGGCTCAAAGCCTTGCAGCGCAGAGCGGCGAAGTGGGGTCTGAGGGGCGTGAACGCCCGCGACACAACTGCCACTCGGAAGCCAGTCGTCCGACCGAAGGCCGCGGCTGGAGTTGTCCAATTTGCCTGACGTGTCCAAGCATGTCCAAGTTTTGGCGATATGTTAAGGGAAGCCGAAAGTTTGAAAGTAAACCGCCCGGAGTGAAGCTCACGACAATTTGGATTTGCACTGGAAGAGCTGGCAAAGCCTCGCTTTTCTGCGGTTTCGGTACCAGCCAAAGGGCGCCTCCACTTTTCAGGCCCATTTGTGGGGGCCGCAACCATTCCCAACCTGCCCAGGGGCCCCAGGGGCACCTGGATGCCACGAATCAGGAGGAGGTGATGTGGGTCGTCTCAAACAAAGTTTCCCTTTAGTACCCTCAAACAAATGCACACTCCTGTGGTGCTCCGGGCTGAGTCCAACTCTCCGCCAAGGCTTAGTCATATGTCAGCGGGCGAGCAAACCGCCCTGGAGCAGCCATGCTTCGCCGGCGTGTGCCTTTGATGCATTCCCCAGTGGAGTCACAATGAAACACCGGGTATATGAAGGTTAGTATAATCCCAATCGTAAATAGCTGCTGCTATGTACCCTTTTTAATTTTGCATAGACCAGTTTAGTACCAGGATTTGATTATGACGTAATTGTTCAATGCACCTCTGGCTTTCTAGGTTGGTGGAATCCCAAACGAGGTTGACTGTTTCTACCAGGGTGGGCAACTGGGATTTGCGTGGCAACCCTGCAATCCCATTTCACAAAATGACGCCCCAATTTGTCGGAGCGGGTTGATCCCATGAGCCCAGCAGGTTTATTAGTATCTATTTCTGCGTAAGTAAGGTCTCCCAGCCCAGACCAAAACCTTATGTCAGGTGGCCTTTGCTATGTGCCTTGTTGGGTATCAAGTGTGGAGGGCTTTCAACAGGCCTCAAGTGGTGGACAGCAGTCGGCCTCGCATGGGTTGATGCCGCGTCAGCTTGTTACTTTTCTGCAACTTGTGAAAGGCACCTGATGGCCTTTATTTCCTAAAGTTCTTAACTGCTTCTAGGAACCGGAAGAATCCAGCACTCGAGAGCTAAAGGAACAGTATGGGTGTGCCTTTACGCTAGGCAACCTCAACATGATTAGTCAGGGTCCTCATGGTTGTTCCCTTCAAACATCATGCACCATAATGAAACTCACGTTGAGGTGGCCCGAAAGGTTATGCTTAAATTACACAAAAGGGGGCATCTTCAAATCACCCCTGTCAAGCCAGCCATGTTGTTGAGATCCGATTCATGATCTTTGGGGCCCCGCTTGACCAGCGTTCCTTGAAGGATGCCTTTGCGCCATTGTCAAAATCACCTTCACCAGATGATTTAGAGGATTTTCCGTGTAAAGCTGGTGGTTTTCTCAGGTAGGTCATGCTGGCTCACGCCAGCCGCCTGTTTGACCACGGTTTTTGGGATGTATGATCTTGGTGGTAGCCATAGCTTTTTGGCCTTTTTGGTGTTTAGTGGGGATTTCCATTTAACCCACTAAAAGTTAAACTTTTAGTGGGGGATCTGAGGACAGCCCAGTGATGTGTCCCTTGAAGGAACCCTGTTGACTCGATCCGTCTCGCAGTGTCTCGGTGGCGCTGTCCACCTTTGCCCAGCTGCTGGGGTCCCTGCGGCAGACGGCCAAGAAGAACTCCCTGAGGGGTGAAAAGGCGAAGCGGGCGATCATCGAGTTCGGAGAACTTCGAAGGTTTTGATTTTGTTTTGCTGAAGTTGAGGAGAAGGGGCCTTCTGAAGGGGTTTTTGTGGTTCTCAAACTGTTGTTGTTCTTTCTTGGCGTGCGCTGGGAGGAGGCGGTGTCGCGAGAGAACAGCGCAACAGGTTTTGTTGAAAATGCAAAGGCGAGACCAAGATAGCTAGAAGAACGGCCAGAGGCACTGAGACGAGCAGGTTTGAAGTTTGCCGAACTGTTTGTGAGTATGGATGACTTTTGATTCCAGTTAACCTCAACCTGTATATCACATCTAAGGGGCACCAGCTGTTTTGCTGGAAGGGCTTGGCATGCGAAGGATTGTCCAAGTCATAGTCTGAGGAGGCGGTCCGAACTCTTGGCAAACAACGCTTTCAGAAGAAAGGCGCAAGCAGAGAAGAACATTTGGCTCACACACACACAGAGTGTGATTGTGATGACCAGGAGTTCAAGCCAACATGGAGACACCCTGTATCGGAGGTGCAAAACAGTGTTTGTCGCCAATGGATATTGTTTTCACCCCGTGGGTAACGCGTTTGGCCGTGCGACCGTTGTTCTTGGCAGATGAGTCAATCATGGTCAAGCGACCCTGTGGTTTCCCTCAGAAGACCACCACAGACGGGGGGTCACTCATTTTTTTAGGACTCTGCACCATGCATTTGACTTGTCCAGAGCCGAGCATGTCACACCAAGGTTTGGGCGGCGCTCGTCTCTTGAATGCAACCTGAAATGTAGGCATACAAACTTTACAGTAGGTAAGCATCAGTTGCATCGTTCCGGCGTACCCCAACAGTGATAGAAGTGCCCCAGCAGAGTTTTTGGCCTCTTAGATCGAGATGCTACATGGCTTGCAAGTGTCGAGCCGCAGGTGCGACGAGCCGCACCCCCTCGCTCGGACCGACGGGACGATCTGGTGGGCGAGGCCGGTTCAGGGGAGGGGAGGGAAGTTGGGGTGGCCCATGTTGCCAAGCCAAATCCAACGGGAGACCAGAGGCACATTTCTTGCCCTGAAAGCTACCAAGGGATCTCCTGATCTCCCAGTCCCATTCTTCAGTGCCCGAGTCTGGAAGCTTTCATGGGTTCCCCACCCACAGAATCCAAATTGGAGAATGGAGAATTACTTGGCTTGGGCCCTTGGGTGCTCCTCCCATCAAAGGAATTGTGAGGCATTCTTCAGGTTGGTGACATATGAATCTCCCAGCTACTAGCTACTTTGATGGTCTGATCAGATCAATGACAGCGTTTTGTTTGGGTTCCCAGGGGCGACAAGATGGGAGTTGACTACACAGACAAATCCCGCGCAGCATATTGTTCATGGAGGACATGACGGTTCCACTCCACACGCTGTGTTTCCACCGAAGTTGGCTGTCGAAATAAACCGCAAGGAACCGTTGTAGCAAGTCATTTTGGCTGACATAAACATAGTGATACGATGATATCCATGATTGTTGAGCTTTCTCAGTGCACATCACACGGAAACGGAAATGGATATCCGTTTGTTTCGAACAGGGGTGAGCGGAGGTTAGGGACTTTGTGATGCAGGGTCCTTGAGCATACCTCAATTCAAGTGGATGACAACTAGTGCAGATGTCAGTGTTTTTTGTTTTGTTCTGTGGGGTGGTTCAATGCGAGCACTGTTTGGTCGCCAAGTTGCATGACTGCTCCTCTACCGGGGCCTCCTCACAACACATGGTTTATAATTTCTGCCTGCAGTGTACCCCAAGTCCAACGTGATGTTGGAGCGGAGAAGTATAAGGCGCCTGATGGTGCGCATTTTCATGACAAGCCACTGAAAAGCTTTGGAAGCCTGGAGAGGTTTGGAGCAGTTTGGCCGAGAATCTAACGAGGTGATGCGCAAATTGACCCTACCGTTGGTTTTCGCTTTCAACAGGGAAACTAAGAACATGATCAATAGGTGTTAGAGAGGCGGTGCCGCCCGAGACCCTGATTAAGGTGGGTTGACACCATTAGTCTGCCTGTCTGGAAGGCAAACCTGTTGTTCATTCCTTAAGAGTTTGCGGGTCCAAAAGGAGGTTCGTCTAAAACATGGTGGTTTTGGGGGGTTCCATGTTGATTTGCAGGGAGTAAATCCTAGGTTAAGTGTTGAAGCCGGCCACTGGCAAGGCGCATTGCTCGTCCTCAAGCCTCGGCATCCAGGACGACTGTTTTTTGAGGCGCGGGCGGGAGTTGGGGGGGGGGAATGCGGGTTGTGGGGGTGCAACAAAGCGATCCGTGGGGTGCCTTTTTTG